TTGATTACTTTAATTCAAAAATGCTCTAAAAACTAAATTATAAAAATAAACCTTAAGTTTTTTTACATTAAATAGATCTAAGTCAATTACTTTTCTTTTGAAGACTTGTTTGTTGCAAAAAAGTAAATAAAAATTTACTGCTAAATCAATAAAAAGTAAAGCATACTTTATGGTCAATTGAATTTTAGCAACATTAATAGAAAAAACATTTAAGTTATAATAAAAAAGGTATAATTTATAAAAAAAATCCTTTAGTAGAAAATATTTTCTAAGAAAATTGTCTTTAGAACCCCAAACACTAAAACCTAAAAGTTTTAAATAATTTAAAACAACAACCACAATTTTTAATAGATTATTAAAAAATCGAAAGATGTTTTATACGCCGAAACTACTAATTTAAAATTTACAAATAAAAAAAAAAAAACATAAAATACATTTATTTAAAAGTTTTCAAAAGTAAAACATTCAAAGTTTTTGCTCAATTAATTTATTTTCAGAAATATTTCATAACATTAATATGAAAAAAAAACTTTTACAACAAATTACACAATCTAAATAAATGTTAATTTATTACTTTTGCAAATGATTAAAAGCATACTTTTTGTTGAAAGGTTACTTTACTTTAAGTAAAGCATACTTTAGGGTCAATTAAATTGCTAAAAGAAATTACAAACATAAAGAGCGTAAAGAAAGGAATAGGAAAAGCTGCTAATGTTTATATAATAAAATCTAAACAAACAGCAGGTTAGAAAAGTAAAGCATAATTTTTCTGTTATAAAGGTTAAGTTAAGTAAAGCATACTTTAAGGTCAATTAAGTTGTTTGGCAATTAGCAAAGAGGTTTGTAATAAATAAGGCGTTATAATTTTTAATTTATAATCCAGATAACTAATTCTAAAAAAAGGTCTGCCTAAGAGTTTATTTAAGTTGTGACAACAAATTACAAACAACTCCTTGGAGAAACAAAAAGTAACATATAAAGCATAATTTTAGTAGCACAATTTCTATATATAAGAAATCCTTCTAAAGTAAACTCATTTTTCTTCTTTTTGTAGCAAAAACTTTAAGTCTAATCCATTTCCTCTAAATTCTTTAAATCTATTGATTTATGTATTAAATAAAATCAATATTTTCCCTGCCAAAAAGTATGCTTTAGTTTTATGGCTGTAAATTATTTACCTTTGACAAAAAACTATGCTAAAGTTGTGTTGCTAAACCTGTTTGCATTTAAATCTTTCTCTAATATTTAAAGTTTTTATTTAGTTTGCTGCATTTGCTTTTATTTCTCCTGTCAATCTTAACATTATTTGTGCAAATTTGCAAAACTTTATATTATAAATTCAAATGTATTAAACAAAAAAAAACAGCCAAAGCACAACTTTTGCAAATTGTTCACGTATAAATATTTTGTCACCACTAGAGCAATACCAAAATCTACAGTTGTTGTTTGTAAATATGAAAAACAAAATTTATAAAATTTATAAGTTTTACTTAGTTTTAGTTTATAAATTTTAACAAAAAAAAATATATATAAATAAATAAAAACAAGAACTTAGCTTTTAAGACCTTACAGAAAAACTATCATTTTTTTCAAAGAAATGCAAAAGAAAAATTATAAAAATTTAAATCAATTTTCTAAGAATTTATTTTAAAGCATTTTTTTATACTAACACACATATTTACGTTGCTGTTGTTTTGAATGCTCCCTAGAGTATGCAATTTTCTTGTAAACAATTTTACTTTGCTCTTTTAAACAGTGGGACATATTGAAAAAATCTCACTAAAGTTAAATCTATAATGTAGTCCATAGTTTAATCTATAGTTTAGTCTATAGTCTAGTCTATAGTCTACTCTATAGTCTAGTCCAGACTATAGACTATAATCTAGTCTATAATCTAGTCTTTAGTCAAATCTATAGTCGAGTCTATAGTATAGTCTTTAGTCTAGTCTCTAGTCTCGCCTATAGTCTAGTCTATAGTTTAGTCTATTGTCTAGTCTATAGTCTAGCCTATAATCTAGTCTATAATTTAGTCTTTAGTCGAATCTATAGTCGAGTCTATAGTATTGTCTTTAGTCTAGTCTCGCCTATAGTCTAGTCTTTAGTCTAGTCTCTAGTCTAGTCTATAGTCTAGTCTATAGTCTAGTCTAGTCTAGTCTAGTCTATAGTCTAGTCTATAGTCTAGTCTATAGTCTAGTCTATAGTCTAGTCTATAGTCTAGTCTATAGTCTAGTCTATAGTCTTGTCTATAGTCTAGTCTATAGTCTAGTCTATAGTCCAGTCTATAGTCTAGTCTATAGTCTAGTCTATAGTCTAGTCTATAGTCTAGTCTATAGTCTAGTCTATAGTCTAGTCTATAGTCTAGTCTATAGTCTAGTCTATAGTCTAGTCTATAGTCTAGTCTATAGTCTAGTCTATAGTCTAGTCTATAGTCTAGTCTATAGTCTAGTCTATAGTCTAGTCTATAGTCTAGTCTATAGTCTAGTCTATAGTCTAGTCTATAGTCTAGTCTATAGTCTAGTCTATAGTCTAGTCTATAGTCTAGTCTATAGTCTAGTCTATAGTCTAGTCTATAGTCTAGTCTATAGTCTAGTCTATAGTCTAGTCTATAGTCTAGTCTATAGTCTAGTCTATAGTCTAGTCTATAGTCTAGTCTATAGTCTAGTCTATAGTCTAGTCTTATAGTTCCTAGTCTATAGTCCTAGTCTATAGTCTAGTCTATAGTCTAGTCTATAGTCTAGTCTATAGTCTAGTCTATAGTCTAGTCTATAGTCTAGTCTATAGTCTAGTCTATAGTCTAGTCTATAGTCTATTCTATAGTCTAGTCTATAGTCTAGTCTATAGTCAAGTCTATAGTCTAGTCTATAGTCTAGTCTATAGTCTAGTCTATAGTCTAGTCTATAGTCTAGTCTATAGTCTAGTCTATAGTCTAGTCTATAGTCTAGTCTATAGTCTAGTCTATAGTCTAGTCTATAGTCTAGTCTATAGTCTAGTCTATAGTCTAGTCTATAAGTCTAGTCTAGAGTCTAGTCTATAGTCTAGTCTATAGTCTAGTCTATAGTCTAGTCTATAGTCTAGTCTATAGTCTAGTCTAGTAGTCTAGTCTATAGTCTAGTCTATAGTCTAGTCTATAGTCTAGTCTATAGTCTAGTCTATAGTCTAGTCTATAGTCTAGTCTATAGTCTAGTCTATAGTCTAGTCTATAGTCTAGTCTATAGTCTAGTCTATAGTCTGTCTATAGTCTAGTCTATAGTCTAGTCTATAGTCTAGTCTATAGTCTAGTCTATAGTCTAGTCTATAGTCTAGTCTATAGTCTAGTCTATAGTCTAGTCTATAGTCTAGTCTATAGTCTAGTCTATAGTCTAGTCTATAGTCTAGTCTATAGTCTAGTCTATAGTCTAGTCTATAGTCTAGTCTATAGTCTAGTCTATAGTCTAGTCTATAGTCTAGTCTATCGTCTAGTCTATAGTCTAGTCTATAGTCTAGTCTATAGTCTAGTCTATAGTCTAGTCTATAGTCTAGTCTATAGTCTAGTCTATAGTAGTCTATAGTCTAGTCTATAGTCTAGTCTATAGTCTAGTATAGTCTAGTCTATAGTCTAGTCTATAGTCTAGTCTATAGTCTAGTCTATAGTCTAGTCTATAGTCTAGTCTATAGTCTAGTCTATAGTCTAGTCTATAGTCTAGTCTATAGTCTAGTCTATAGTCTAGTCTATAGTCTAGTCCTATAGTCTAGTCTATAGTCTAGTCCTATAGTCTAGTCTTAGTCTAGTCTATAGTCTAGTCTATAGTCTAGTCTATAGTCTAGTCTATAGTCTAGTCTATAGTCCAGTCTATAGTCCAGTCTATAGGCTAGTCTATAGTCTAGTCTATAGTCTAGTTATAGTCTAGTTTATAGTCTAGTTTATAGTCTAGTTTATAGTCTAGTCTATAGTCTAGTCTATAGTCTAGTCTATAGTCTAGTCGATACTCTAGTCTATAGTCTAGTCTATAGCCTAGTCTATAGTCTAGTCTATAGTATATTTTCTAGTCTATAGTGTAGTCCTATAGTCTAGTCTATAGTCTAGTCTATAGTCTAGTCTATAGTCTAGTCTATAGTCTAGTCTAGAACCTAGTCTTTGCCTATTATCTAAATTAGAGGGACTTCTTGCCTACTGTTTAACTTTAGCTGTAGGTAACTTTCTTCTTTATTTTTAATAAAATGAAATATTTCTTAACTATTTTTTATTGTTGTTGTTTATAACATTTTCCACAGATTTTGTTTTCAATTTCTATTCTATTTTTTGTAATTTTTTTCTTCATCAACTTTTTTTATAGTTAAAAATTTTTTATAACATTTTATTTAGTTTGTAAAGCACGTTTTCTTTGTTAAATATTTCCAACATTGCCTAGAATTGAAAATCCCACAGGAGGTTATAAAAAAAGCGAAAAAAATGAATATTTGAAATCTAAATCTAAAACTGTATCTGTGTATGTTGAGTGTGTGAGTTTGTTTGTGTGTTAATTCATAGTTTGATTTACATTTACTGCAGTTGCCAAAGGCAGGAAACGTTTACGTGTGGCTGTATTAGTGTTGTATGAATTATGGTATTGTAGTAGGAGCATGATTACTCTCTAGAGAATGTATTCTCTAACACACATACACAAACAAACAAACTAACTAACAAACCAACGCAGAGGCAATCAAAGTCATAATAGTAGCTTTATTACGTGTACGATTTGCACAATGCTGTAGTCTTTAGAAATTGTTATCATTCATAAAATATACTAAATACAGACAAGAGAAAAAATTCCAAACAAAAATCTCATAATCATACAAATTTATAAAAACAGACTTTTATTATTTGAAAACTTAATAATGTTATAAGCAAACCTTGAAAATCTGTAAAAACTTAAAAAATATAGTAAATAAAATTTTTATTTAAAAAAAGACCTTTTTCTTTTTTTTCATGATAATTTGTTAAACTTTTTTAACTTTATTTTTTACATTTATTTTATTTCCAGCTTTCTACCAAACAGCTGCCTCAGTGAACAACAAAATGGCTTTAAGTTAATTTGCCACCAATTCAAATAAACCCCAAATTAACAAACCTACAAAACAAAAAAAAAGAACATATCATTTTAATAGTCCTTTTTAACACAGGCCTTCCTTCCCCAAATTAACCTACAATATTTTTCTTATTTTTTTGGAAAATCATAAACGAAAAATACCAGCTGCAACATGGTTAAGGGTATTTTAGTAAATCGTAAATCGGATGAGTCGTTTAAAGCACAACTTAAAATGGAACATGCTGACCTTGTGGCCGAAATGCAAACAGTGGAAAATTTACCCACACATGAACGCCTACAACTAGCAAGACTGTAAGTTTTTCATTCATTCACTCTCTCTCTCTTTAACACACTGTTATTTTAAAGTTATTTAAAATCCGAAACATATTTCCCCAACATTACATAAACCTAGAGTAGGTGGCTGTAAAGGGAACTAAAATTAAAATCTATTATTTTAAACTAAAAACTAGAACACAAAATAAAAACATGTAAAACTAGAAAAAATATACAAATAAATTGCAAACAATTTTTAAACCAATTGCAGTAGTCTTTACAATAGAAAAGCTTTATATTTACAAAAACGAAAATCACTTTAGTTAAACAACAACTGTTCTTTACAAATTGCCAAAAAGTTTTAAATTGTTGTAAATAAATAAACAAAGTTTTTTGCTCTGTTATTGAGAATGACCACAACAATATT